TTTTCATTTTTCTTGGATGTTTCTATTTGCGGTTTCCTCACTTTTTACTCTTTGAGACCGGGTGACTTCTTATATATATATATATATATATATATATATATATATATATATATATATATATATATATATATATATATATATATATATATATATATATATATATATATATTTATTATTTTTTTTTTTTTTTTTTTTCATTCTAAGTCTTCCATTGCTAACAAAGTGTTCATGGACACGCTTTTGCATATTTTTCCTTCACCCACTGACACAACCACAACTAAACTGTAGGGAACCACCTATCAAATTTAAATTAATTTAAAATAATATATGTGAATCAAATTTATATTGAAGGTTTATAATAATATGTTCAAATATTAATAGCATAATATAAATTAAATATTAATAATTAATTTCGTATCCCGCCAAAAGAATTCATGAATGTCTACAATAACATTAATTGGAAAAAAATATTAATTATGTTCTAAAAATTACTAAATAAAAAATATATTGTTATTTATCAGATTATATTTTTTAACAACAGCTCATATATTATCTGTATAAATTATGATTTTTCATTGCTTAAATAGTATATTGAAGTCTAACAAATAATGTATAAACAACAAACATGAAAGAAAAATATATATAAATAATATAATTAAAAGATTATTTGTTAACATATGAAAGTTTAAATTGTCAATCCCGTATAAATATTATTCATAAGAATTCTTTATTAACAAAAGGTTAATATACAATTTTTACTTTTAAAATGATTTGTAATCAAATAAACATAAAAAGAATATTAATAAATATCTTTTATACATATAATTTTTTTCTAAATTGTTATTCCCTTCAGTTGTTTTATCTGAATATACGGAGTTGCTGCTTTGAGTTTATAATTTTAAAAAAATTCATCTTAGGTGTTTTTTGTTGACTGATATTTACTTAAGATAATTTCTTTTGTTTGTTATCTTTTTATCTCATAATAATAAAATAAATTTATTAAAAATATAATGTTATTAAGTCTTTGTTTCACGTTATTTTCTGTGGCTAAAGAATGGAAGGTGCGGATTATATAGAAGTTACCAAATTTGTTTTAGTAGATATTTACTGATTTGAAAAGAAATAAACCTTTAGAAGATTTGAAGGTAAAAGATATAATATTTGTTGTTTTTCTTAATTATCCTCCTTAAAAGATATATTACATTATAACAAAATTTCATTAATTAATTCTAATAAAAATTGTATTCCAAATAAAATATTATTATATAAAAATATATATTAAAAAATATATATTTTTTGATTATTTATATTTATATTTAATTTTTTATTTTTAATATAAAATATGTTAACTATATTATATATATATATATATATATATATATATATATATATAACTACTTACTAACTAATTATTTGTTTATTATTATTTAATTATAAATTATAATTTTAAATATACTCTTATTATTAGAATATATAATTTTAATTAATAGATTATATTCTAATGATTTTAAAATATAAATAATCGATTATAAAGATATGACTAATTGATTATATTAAAAAATATATTATTATATTAAAAAATTAATATTGTTATATTTATTATATATGAATTAATATTGGAATATAAAATTTTAATTTATTTAAATATATTAATACTATAATATAAATTATTAATAATTTTTTTAATAATGTAATTTTAATATATAATTTTATTTTTTTATTATATTTTGTTTTTTAATTAATAAAATTAGACATGATGTATAATTAATTATTTAAATAATTTAAAATTTATTTTAAAATAATTTTCAAAATAATATTTTTTTAAAATTTAAAAATAATTCTAAAATTTTCTAATTATAAAAATTAAATCTAATACTTCTATAAAATATCATAAATTATTTTTATATTTTAAATATAAATTAATTTTAATATATTTAAATTTTATCTATAATATAAATTAGTTAATTTATATTATTAAATTACATCATAATTAATTTATTCTTATTTTATTTATAATAAATGATAAAAGTATTTTAATCAATATCTTTTTTTATTTAATCACAATAATTTCATTATTTATAATTTTTCTATTTATTTATTTTATGTTCATTTTCCATCATTTATCTCTTAATCCAACCGACCTTCCTTTCACCTAAATTTTTTTATTCTTTTTCCCTTTTTAATGGAATGGGTCATCCAACCACCACACCACATCCTACATTGAGCAGAAAAAACACCACTGAAAGAAAGGAGGACCACACCATAATTAGCCATTGGACCACTGAAAAAGTAATCTTACGAAGTTTCTAAGAAAAGGGATTAATCATTTTAGGCCAATTAAACTGTTAAATATATAGACTTATTTAATGTTTGGTTAAATAAATCAAAAGATTAGGAATAAAAAATAAGAACAGGTTATTTATCATTCAACTTCTTTAAAATTTCTGCTTATAATAAAATTGTTACTTTTTTTCTTCTTCAATAAATGTCATTTATTTTTAGCACAATCAGTAGTAACTTGTGTTAGCCTGTGTCTTTTAATATTCAAGATTTTATTTCTAGTAACCTTTTATATTTGTTTTGTCACTTCTTTTTATATAATTATGATTAGTTTTTGTAAAAACAAAAAAAAAGAAACTTTTTTTGGAAGACATTTTTTTTCAATTATGTTTTTTTTATTACATAATTTATATTTAAGATTTAAAAAAAAAATCCAAATCAATCACACATTAGTAAAGTTTTGTTTGCTATATGAATCAATATTTTTATATTATTTATATGTTTTATATCATAAAATTTGTAAGTTAATTTGGGCATATATTTTAATTATGTTCGATTATTTAATTTTGTGTTTTCTAAATTTTAAGATCGTCAAACCCTTGCTTAACTATAGACCGTTCTTTTATTTATTTTTAAAATGGTTGTCTTTTTTTTTTCCACAATTATAAATTTAAAGAGACTTGTTTCTGCACAATGAAAAAAAAAAAAGTCTTATTTCAACCAAAATTTGATAACAAAGCTAACAATTGCAGTATTTTACTCTGTCCATTTAAATTTTCTTATTAATTTAATTACAAAATGTCACATTTATAAGAATAAAGTTGCTCTTAGACTATTTTTTATATAATAAAAATAGAAGATGTCAATTTAAGGCATCATGAAAAATTCTGGGAAATGCGACCAATCCCTATTAAGTATCTCTTAAACATTCTTTCACTGTTTCATAAATTTACGATATGAAATTCAATTTTGTTACCTATAGATGTAAGCATCATTTGTCTGTTCAGGCATGGACATAAAAACTACACATATATTAAAATATGAACGTCCCATTTCGTGTCAGTCAACTCAAACCCGTGCTTTATTTGAGGAATAAATAAATAAATGGTTGACTTGAGTCGTCCCATTTCGTGTCGGTCAACCTTACTCAAAACTAAACCTTTTTCCACGGATTGAACCCAAAGAAAAAATGTTTCAAGTTATTTTCTCATGTATGAACCATTTTTGTCTGTATAAGGAAAGATGAAAAGTTAGATTTTAACATGTTTTTCTCAAAATACCTAATATCTTTGAAAATTAACATATATTTGTGAACATAATTCCATCAAAACAATGAATCGCAAGTTCCATGAAGAAACCCCTCCCCTCACTCTATGACAAATCTATCTTAATTATTGTGAATAATTCAAAAACAAAACTTGGTCGACTCATCATGCCAAAATGTTACTTAGGTTGAAATAAGCAACTTAGTAATATTATCAATAATTAACTTGACTTGATTGATGAGTAAATAAATTTAATTTCCAAAAAAAATAAAAGCTGATTTTGACGTAGTCGTAATATTTTTTATTAGACTTCCGGTGTTCTTCATCTGAGAAAAAAAATTAAAAATACTAATATTTATTTTAAAAATTGACGTTTTTAATAAATATTTTTCATAAAATAATAAAATAAAAAATATCTGCCTGCATAGTTTAAGAGCAAAGTTATCTATAAATATCCTTTAGAAACTGATAAAATCATTGGAAGGGGCTTACTTAATTGCCTTATTATAATTAAAATTCTTAGCATATAATAAAATTGAGACACGTAAACTGAAACCCATCCTCGCCATCGATCTTCATAAATATTTCTATGGCTTAGTCAGTCACAAAGTTTTTATTTGTTGGAAACTTCCTTTGAATTGACACGACTTTGCTTGGGTTCTTCCACGATTTTTCCAGGGCAAGCCCAGTCTTTCTAAGTCAACACTCGACAAAGAAGTTACAAATAAATTAAAATTATAGTGAATAGATTATTTGGCTATTTAATTTCTTTTATGCATGCTATCAAAGATAACCATCATTTGGGTAACCCGAACAACAATTCAGAAATTACGTAGCGATTCATTCATCCCTTTGTTCATTCTTAAGGCAAGTATCCTATCTTGTCTCTTTTTCATAATAAGAAATCAAAAAGTACACATACAAAAATAATCAAACTTATATTTTAGGAAAAAATATTTTTTTCACCACTATTCACACAATCCCTCTAAATAACTGCATTTTATATTATAATAATAATTTTAACTATTTTTTATTTTTATTTAAACTCTTTCATGATTATTATATTAATAAAATGAATTGTTTTTTTGGGTTGTTTTTTCTTTTGACATCATCACCCTGTATTTTAATGGAAGAAAAAAATAATAAAAATAGAAACAGTCAATTTATTAAGTCCTCTTTGGGGTCAGTCAGTTATGCTTAAAAAAAATGCGTTTGGAAACCTCTCAAGATCAACATTGGTCACAAAAGATTTAAGGTTTCACACTTCGAATTGAAAAACTCTTGCTTATACACCTCCAACCAAGTTAAGTTATAAAGCTAGCAACCACAGAATTTTGATTAAGCCAATTAACCACTTCACATCCTATATACCAATAAAAGCTGATTCATATCTAAAAAAACTCCAAAGTTAACATCCTATTGTTGATTACTTCTGATTCCTAGAAGACAACCAGCATGGCTATGCTTAGGTTGAGGTCACTTTCCTATGTCTGTTGTCTCCTCCTGATATCAATTTTTATATCTCGAGTCAGTGCCGATAACAATACAGAAAACTTCCACTACTTCTGCAATGAAAAAAACGACAGAGGAAACTACACAGCCAACAGCACCTATAACACCAACCTCAACACCCTTTTGTCCACTCTCACTTCCGACACACAAATCAACTACGGTTTCTACAATCTTACAAACGAGGAAAACACTGACAGAGTGTACGCAATTGGGCTGTGCAGAGGAGACGTTAAGCCAGACGAATGCCGCACCTGCCTGGAACATTCGAGAGGCAATCTCAGTCAGCTTTGTCCAAACCGAAAGGAAGCAATTGGGTGGTACGAGGATGAGAACTGCATGTTGCGCTACTCAGACCGCAAAATATTTAGCCTCATGGAAACTGGACCAGCGTATTTTGCGTGGAGTTCAAAGAATGCAACGCAAGCGGAGGAGTTCAATAGAGTGGTGAAGGACTTGCTTGATGGGTTGAGAAGCAAAGCTGCATCGGGAGACATTCGTAGTAAATATGCTACAGCAAATGCAATTGGACCAGATAACAAAACCATTTACGGGCTTGTGCAGTGCACGCCTGATTTGTCTGGACCAGACTGCGATAACTGCTTGTATCAGTCCATCCTAGAAGTCCCAAAATGTTGTGCTAGTAGAATAGGTGTTATAATTGTTAGACCCAGTTGCAACCTGAGATATGAAACTTCATTTCTCTTCTATGATGCTCCAGCAGATACACCATCACCAACACCCTCACCCTCACCATTTTCGCCACCTTCTAGGGTCACTAGTAACACTTCCACAGAAGGTACTTGTCAAATTACGCTTCCACTTTGCAACATGTATTGATTGTGTGCTAAAATTTTGCAGGACTTCCTAACAAATTTCACTGTCAAATCTCTGTGTTTTATTAGTAAGAGTTTGATAATGATTAATAGTGTGAAACAGTTTTACATTATTATTTAATAACAAATTACTGTTAATATGACTATTATAAAAATTAATTAACTGATGATAGATGGGGAATGTACAGTTCTTTTTTCTTTTCTTTTTTTCTAATTACATAAACATCCCTTAGATGCATATCTCACGTCACTGGATCATTCTGGTTTATGCAGATAAGCACGACGCGTCAGGAAGTACTTCTGCAGATATAGTCCCGTCCTTCTTGTTGTTATGTGGTTTTGTTGTGTCCGTTTTTGTTTCTGTTTGAGAATGAGGAAGCGAAGGAGAAGTTGCTTTGAAAGTAATTCTACTTAGCATAGGATAAAGCTGCATCATCAGGATAATGTCTTCGTGAATAAGCTGCAGCAAGTTCAGTTGTAATTTTTTTGTGTTAACTTAATTTTGATTAGACGTATATTTAAAATGTTGGCATTTATATTTGTATGCCTTTACTTAAAGAGTTCAATAAAAAAAAGTTTTATACAATTAATTATTCTTCTGATTTATAAGACAGTATTATATGATTAACAAATTTATAAGAGTTAATCCTTTGTACTTACATTTAATTAAAGACTCCTTTTAATTACGAGGCTCGTTGTATATCTTAACTTATAACTTAATAGTTGATTAAGTAAACCAATAGTGGTTGGTTTAATTATAATATAATTACATGTTTTTTCAATCAAGTAATTATGAATTCCAATCCAAGTTTAACTATTGTGTATGGAATATCTGTAAAAATATATTAGTCTCAATGAATAATGGAAAATACAATAAATATATAACAATGATTAGATGAAAGACACAATTAATCATGTTTTCCACTAAAATATTCGCCATCTGTTTACCGCTAAAGCAAACACTTTCACAATTTGATATGTCATCATATATAGGAAGAATTATGAAAATAATATAAGTGTTTAAAAGGAGAGGCGTAAATTAAGAGCATATTCAACGAATGTAAAAAAGAAAAATGTTGAGCAGAATAAAAATAAAATATTTTCTAAAATAAATACTCACAACAAATTTTATAGTTATAATTTATAAGTAGGTAATAGTATTTGAGTGTTATTTTTGACAATCATTCAATAATCCATTTTTAGATATTTTTCTTCATTAATCAACAAAAATATTACTATTTTAAAATTATTATTTATGTATTTATTAGTAGAGGTTCTCAAATAATTTTTCCATAATATTTATGCAGACTTTTCTAAATTGAAAAGTCCCAAACATGCCAGTCAACGTTGTCAGCCCCACAATCCTTATCCTTGAATTAATGAAGTGTTTTTTGATTTAATGGAAACGCTTTTGCATATTTTCCACAATGCTTTTGGGACAGGACATTTATTGTTCAAGATAAATTTAAGTTGATCTGCGAAAATTATATTAATTTGGTTGGGTAATTTTCAGAGATTATTTTGAAGATGTATTTTCATTTTTAATGTTAAAGAAGAAAAACAAAAATACGTGGCATCAAACATCTTTATCAATGTCTTTCATAAATTACAAAATAAAACAATTCACCTGAATAGACATAATTATTATATACTGGATTAACAAATTTCATTTTTGCAGAATATGAATAGTTGAAATATATTTTTTTATCATTTTTAATCATTTATTATATATATATATATATATATATATATATATATATATATTAAAATAAGAATAATTTGAATTTTCTAAAAAAGAAAAATATTTTATAATAAATATTTTATTTTTTATCAAATCAGTTTTTACAATTTTTTATTATTTTTATTCTCTCTTCGTTAATCTAAATAATTTTCTTCTTCTTCACTTCTCCACTTATCAATCTTGATTGACTTGACTTATATTTGCATCTATAAATTAAAAGAACAATTTAATTTTTTTCTTTTTAAACAAATGTTAAACTATTTTTACATTATTTAAGATACTTTTCTTGAAATATTTTATCTTTAATTAATATATGACTTTTAATTGTATTATTATAATATTTATTTTTATTTTATAAAAAAAGTATGAAGAGACTAATAAAATTTAATGTACTTTAATTACTTTCCTTAAGTTACTTTTTTTTATTATTGTAACGGACGTACTACTAATTAATCAACATATATATATATATATATATATATATATATATATATATATATATATATTTGGTATATTATTATTATTATTGCATATAATAAGTTGCTTATGGAAATAGAGAATTCGTGAAAAGGAAATAACAAAAGAAGAGTTAAAAAGAAAGAAAACTATCGACTATCAATGGTACCAATGAATTATTGCATCTCTTATTAGAATTAAAAAAAATGCATAAAGTTGAGTTCCATTAAAAATAAATTTTGATTCACATGTAATTTTTGTTATAATAGAACAATACATAAAAATGTATTTTATTAAAAATAAAAATAAATATACAGTAAAAAAATGAAAATAAAGTATTTTTAATTCAATAAAAAAATACATAAATAGGTAGGAAGTAGGACTTTAGTCCCGTCCACGATATAGTGCGTCAACCAGTGACGGATCTTGATCATTGATCTTAGGGACCAAATAATATATTATTAATAAATAATAAATAAATATAAAAGAAAGAAAGAAAATGAAATGATGAAAAGATAAAATTCTAGATATATACTTAAATATATTAAATGCTTGTTAAATTTAAGAAGAACAAAATTAGATATATACTTAAATATATTAAATATTTATTAGTTTAAGGAGAACAAAATTATAAATTATATGAGAGTTATAAAATTGAAAAAAAGATAAAAAGAAATGAAAAGATAAAATTATAAATATATAAATAAATATATTAAAGATAAGTATCAAAATGATAAATTATATTTAGATTATGAACACACACTCTCAACTCCCAAAAGATTTGCTAGTTGGATAAACGATGATAAGTTTGCAATCGGAGAAACCTACAAAGATAAAATAAACACTAGTCACACTAAAGGACCTTAAATCAAAATTCATATTTGACGCGGTTGATGATATGAAGTGTACAAAATTTTGGTTGTTAGGAATTAGAAGTTTTCGTTGCTTAAACTTCATGGAAAGTGTTGCATTTGACCAAATACAAGGCAAACTAAATTTGAAAATGCCAATGATACGTGAACAAGCTGGCAACACTACAAGTTTGATTCAGACAATCACTTGCTCGCCCAATAAAGAAGCCTTCTATCATCCATTTTTTGTTACTTCTCATTCCCACAACACAATCAACAAATCCAACATGCCTCACTTTTCCTTTCTCTGTTGTCTGCTTCTCATAACAATTTTTATATCTCAAGTTAGTGCAGCAAACAACGTCACCGCACAAGGCTTCCACTACTTCTGCGATGAAGAAAACAACAACCAGAGAGGAAACTACACAACCAATAGCGCCTATCACACCAATCTCGATACCCTTTTGTCCACTCTCATTTCCAATACAGAAATTGATTACGGTTTCTACAATTTCACAAACGGCGAAAACAATGACACAGTGTACGCCATTGGGCTGTGTAAAGGAGACGTTAAGGCACAGGAATGCCGCTCATGCCTCAACGATTCGAGGGCCAATCTCACGGAACTTTGTCCAAACAAAAAGGAAGCAATTGGGTGGTACACGGATGAGAAGTGCATGTTGCGCTACTCAGACCGCAAAATATTCGACCTCATGGAAACTGGACCGGCGTATTTTGTGTGGAATTTAACGAATGCAACGAAAGCGGATGAGTTCAACGGAGTGGTGAAGAACTTGCTTAATGGGTTGAAAAGCAAAGCTGCTGCAGGAGACTCTCGTATTAAATATGCCACAGCAAATGCAACTGGACCAGATGACAAAACCATTTATGGGCTTGCGCAGTGCACGCCTGATTTGTCTGACGTAGAGTGCGATAACTGCTTGCTTCAGTCCATCGAAGAAGTCCCAAGATGTTGTGATAACAGCGCAGGTGCTAGAATTGTTAGACCCAGTTGCTATCTGAGATATGAAACTTCATTTCTCTTCTATGGTGCTCCAGCATTTGAATCGTCGGCTCCCCCTCCACCGATCACCCCCGAAGGTACTCCTCCTTAGACTACCTTAATTAATTCAATTGCTTCATCTACAGTTTTTACTTGCGTTACAGAGTTTTAAACGTTTTCTTCTTCGACCACTAGGGTATTAGTTTGGTTAAATGTGGTTTTCGGGTGGTTGTAGCATTTAGAACTATATGTGTTGACAGAGTTGGTCAAACAACGTGTATAGATAACCCAATATGGTCAATTAAAAAAAATAAAAAAAGCTTTTATGTCATAAGCTCTGCATATTATATAGATCTTTGTGCGGTTTTGTTTTCCATATTCATATGACAAAAATGAAGAGAAGTGCTAAAGAGTAGGGAAAAATCTTACCCGAATCGTACTTGTGTATTTGTTTTTAAGAAAAATAATACTTAGGTCACCATCGCAGTTCTTAACAAACTTCTTATGCTAAGTTTCTGTTTTTCAGTAAGTTCTATCCTTGGAGCCGTCTAAGGTGTCACCTGTCATTTATGATTTATGATGTAAGAACCCAAAACAGGTGGCGATAAAGGACCAAATAAGATAACTGTGATAACAATTCACAACAATTTCTACCTACGCATGCTCTTAAATCCCCAAGGATAACATCTTGAGAGAGTGAGAGATAAAATTAATATTATAAAGGTGATACACAGATCATTCAATTTATTAAACATCCGAAAATATCCCATATATTTGTACTTTATTTATTATTTTCTTAAATGTTGGGACTCTGCATGTGGTCATTTTATCCTTTTCCTGTGAGATTATATTTAATATGATGTAATAAAAAGAAAATGATAAATGTCAGTCACATGTTTTGAAAATTATATGTCTGTATCTGTGTTTGATGGAACAATCATCTGTATAAGAAACAACAAATGTTTCCAGTTTTCGTAATATTTAATATTTAAGTTTAGGAATTAGGATCTATTAAGTAACAAGTTTTTACAAATCGTGTTTAGATGGCCTTAACAATTAGTTATTGGACTTGTTGATGTTTGATGGTCTTAATATGTGCAATGTCCCACTGAGGATTCTGATTTGTGCAGGAAAAAGCAACACAACCACCATCATAGCAATAGCAGTATCAGCTGGTGTAGTTGCTTCTGCCATGCTGATTTTTATCTTCATGCGTTCAACAGTGAGGAAGTCATGGAAAAAGTTTGAAAGTAAGTGGAAGAACTGGTTTACCGTGACATGTTTTCTATTTAATGGTCCTGAGTACAAGTCAACCTAACATCATAACTTAAGCGAAATATTTCTAGATACATACATAATGCATCTCAATGAAGAGCATTTCCTTCCATTAAATCATGTGAGATGAAGAACCCCATTTTGAAAAAAATAAAATAATTTTAGTGACTAATTCAAAGCGTGCTTTACTCACTTACTGCTACGAATAGCCAACCACAGAGGAAATCAATAACCATTTCAAAATAGGACAAAACTCATATATAGTTACTTAAATATGGTCGGTGTAGCTCTCCCATCAAATTTTTAATTTTACTTTAATTACGCATATTACTAAATTCATTACTACTTTTATACCGCATTGAACCGTATCACATGAAAAACTTACTAGTTTAAAATCGTTTCCCATGTGAAGCTCAACAACAAGAACCATATGATGATGATGATGATGATGATGGAATTGACGCTTCCGAGTCATTGCAAATCAGATTTAACATCATACGAGATGCTACAAATGACTTTTCTGATGCTAATAAACTTGGAGAGGGCGGATTTGGGGCTGTTTACAGGGTAAGTGTCAAACATAACTTCATCAAAAGATGGTATACACAACTACCAGCAGAGAGCTTAATTTTCCGGACTGATATGTTTTCAGGGTACTCTTCCCAGTGGACAAGAGATTGCCGTCAAAAGGTTGTCAGCGAATTCTAGACAAGGTGATACAGAATTCAAGAATGAGGTGCTTTTAGTGGCCAAACTTCAGCACCGAAATTTAGTTAGACTACTCGGTTTCTCTATGGAAGGAAGAGAAAAGCTACTTGTCTATGAATTTGTTCCAAATAAAAGCCTTGATTACTTCATATTTGGTAGGTTTAATTTGAATGTCTGTTTAATTGGACCATACCTCTACGCAGGCCTAAGATTCACATGTCTTGTTTTATGTCTGCAGATGAAACCAAGAGAGCACAATTAAATTGGGAAACGCGCCACAAAATCATTACAGGTACTGCTCGAGGCATTCTCTACCTCCATCAAGATTCTCGACTGCGCATTATCCATCGTGATCTCAAAGCAGGCAACATTCTCTTAGACGAAGAGATGAATCCTAAGATAGCAGATTTTGGCTTGGCAAGGTTATTTGTTGTGGACCAAACTCACGAAGATACACAGAGAGTTGTTGGTACATAGTAAGTAGTCAAACTTATTATAGCTTATCAGCTGTTAATAATGTTTTGGTCAAGCAATTGAAAATTGCGGGATAATCGAGGATGATTGTAAAATGATTTTATTTATTAAGCTTGTTCACACTCTATACTCTTATGCAGTGGATATATGGCACCCGAGTATGCATTGCATGGACAGTTTTCAGAGAAGTCAGATGTTTTTAGCTTTGGTGTATTGGTTCTTGAGATTGTAAGTGGCCAGAAAATCAGTAGCGTTCAACACGGTGAGAATACAGGCGATCTACGCAGTCTTGTAAGTAGGAATTTTGTTTTCATTTATTTTCTTTGCTGTTGTAAGTATGAAAATGGTAAAGCTTACGTAAGTGAGGAAATTGATGGATGCAGGCATGGCGGAGTTGGAGGGAAGGGAGAGCTAGAGATATTGTAGATCCGACATTGAACAATGGTTCAGAAAGTGAAATAATGAGATGCATCCATATTGGATTATTATGCGTTCAAGACAATGTAGGTGCCAGACCCAGCATGGCTTCTGTTGTACTCATGCTTAGTAGCCATTCTTTCAGTCTGGCAGTACCTATGGCACCTGCATTTTATGGGGATATGTCTAGACTCTTTGCAGATATGCAGTTATGGGAGATTAGTTCAGGGACAACAAGATCGAACGAACACACCACTAGATCAGATGAAGATTCGCTAAATGAGGCTTCAATTACTGATCCATATCCTCGCTAGATATTGATCATCCCCAAGACTCTCTCGAGCAGTTTTATGAACCCTCAGACATGTCTTCAAATTAAAAAATCTCAAAGCAAATTGTCCTTGCTTTTTTGCAATTTATCCCATCGCCATGTTACTAATTACAAAATTGTTTATCTGCTATATATGTTATTTGCTTGTATAAGCTGCTGCTTTATATATATATATATATATATATATATATATATATATATATATATATATATATATATATATATATATATATATGTTTTGAAAGAGAAATATTATTGAATGAATATTTTAGATATTAACTATAAAATTAAGTTAAACATTCAGTTTAAATTTAGGTGAGTTTGTAATGCCCTCAGTTTGTTTTAATTATAAAATGTATGATATGACAAGAAGCTAAGCTTGCCGTATGTACTGAGTCTGCAGAATTTATCAGATAAGAATCGGCAGAACCTCCATTCTTCAGCAGGATGATATTTGGCATCCAAATAAGTTTCAACTAAATCACTGATAAAAATTATTATTAATACTGACTATAATACTTGCTACATTATTTTGTTATTATTTCACAGCTCGCGTGGTCACATACTATTATTGCCTTGTTTCTTGTGTATTTTGTCTTCTTTACTAGTTATTATTTCAATGCACGTACGCGATAATTTAACATTAGAGAACACTACAATAAAGCCAACCAGCAAGCATTGTCACTTTACCAGTTGCCCCTACCGTAGAGGCTGTAAATACATTGGAAGATTGAAATTTTCCCACTGCATCATCTCATTCATGCGGGCTGCCATGGTTACGTTTCAATTCAGTATAAGTCACACCAACCCCAGACGTATAATTATATTATATCATGACTGTTCACAGTCATTCTCAGTAAATTGTTATAACATGAAGATCTAATCTCAAAAACCCGTTACGCTCATGATAGCTCAACTATCCTCGGACGCTTTTTGGAATGACCATTTCCCTTTCGTTGTTCATGAATGTTATCGTTACCAGAAATTGATTCTTGATTTACTGACCCATTTCCCTTTTCGCCAATGCTTCCATCGTTGCAATCATTGTCACTGTTTTCAATTTCATCATCCTCGTTGTCATTATCAGCACTACTATCCTCCGAATCTGTTTCACTGCCATCAGCAGCTAATGGAATCACAGGCTGAAAAGTGGAAATTGCAGATTCAGCAGCAGCCACTGCCTCCGGTGTTTTAAGATCGGCCACACCAAGCATCAAATCCTGCAAGAATTGAACATGAAAGCAAAATAAATAATTTAATTCACAATTTGCAAGTCAGTAATATATAAAAAGGTGGGTAGCTCGTTGATATTCAAAGAGAGAAAATAGAGCGTGACTGACACTCACCATTTCAATGACTTCGGATTCATTTCCATTTAGCTCTTCAATATCATAATTCTCTGGATGGTCCTACATATTACATGTATGTAAATTTATTTTTAAAGCTATGAAATATAGAAAAAAGTGGAAAGACAGAAAACACTTGAAAAGCACTGAAAAAAATGGTTTCAATCAGAAACCCAGCTTTAACCTTTGCATCAAGTTCCAGCTGCTTATTTGCTTCTGACATCACTCCTAGGAAGTCTTTCACCTTCCCTAGAACTGCATCAACAAACAGAATTTGATGTCAGGCAAAAAAAACAGTAGTTCATTTTCGTAACTTAATGTTCATAGAGTTGTGCTACATTCTGATCGTAAATAGTCCAATGCTTATGACTAGAATATAACCAGGTAGTGTAATATAAACCCAATTGAAGAGTGAAATATTGTTCAGGGAAAAGGCAACATTATCTTTCTTATGTCTGTCACCTCCATTATTAGTTTTCCTTCAAACCAAAAGTTTAGCAATTAAGTGATGCAATTTCTCGAGAGACCAATCGTATACGAAATAGTTGTAAAACAATTACAAAAACCACATGAAGAGGCAGAAAAAACCCAGATGACACCATCATGCACAGACAGAGACTATAAACATCTCACACTTGCCTACATAAGGTGTGCTATTTCTCTAATATCAGCCACCTCATAGCATCCGACTTGAAGGCTCACATCAAGAGATTCTCCATGGAGGTACATGATCATTACCCTTGGGCAACCCGGAATAAAAAATGAAGGGTAATTCTAGAAAATTTATACAAATTGTTGACAAATTTAATACTATCAATTAAACCTATTGATTCTGAAGTAATTGAAAGGGTCTTGTACAAGAGAGGTACTGTAATGGTAGAAACTAGGCATAGACGTATATCAGACATAAGTTAACTGACTAAAATAACAGAAAAGTAACATAAGCAGATTAAAGAACCAGCATCCATAACCAATATTTGAGGCGTGCCTTAATAAAATCCTCTAAAATTTAAAAAGAGTTGGGATGAATTTGAAACAGTACGTTGGCTTGGGGGAAGTGGAGAAGTGAGGGGCGCGCCATGAGAGGGGAGTCTCCTAGTTTGAATGTTTGATTCTCTTTTATTGCCACTCAGAAGAACAGCGGATTCTGCACAAACAAAGGCAACTTCAGCATTAGTGCCCAAGAAAAAACAAAATAAGAAAAATAAGAGAACAAATTACATTGAAGTAGGATAGAGACCTAAGGACGAAAGGGGCGTGCCCTTATGCTCGAACTGCAGAAGCTCTTTGCTTCTCTCTCCCATGTCTTCTTGAAGCCTTTCTCAACGCTTACGAACAGCGTTTAAGGAAGTGAGTAATGCCACCCTTGTATCAGGAACTACAAACTTAGGTTAGGAAAAATACGTTGATTCAAAAAAATTGGCATAATAATGCGGAATTCTCCTCTTGGAAGTTTGTCGTGGGCTTGCCTGGACAATTACTTAATTGGGCTTTGGCTGGGGCTTGGACTTGGACTTTAACTGTTCGGTGGCACAAATTCGACAATTGTTTTTCAAACTTTCCCTATTTATGATATTTTTAAATTATTATTATTACTATTATTATTTATCTCTAAAAATTAAAATCATTATCTTTTATCTCTTTTCTGTTATATAATACGATTTTTATTTTAAAAAATGTATTCTTTTTATCTCTAAAATTTAGAATCATTATCTTTTATCCCTATACAATACGATTTTTATTTTAAAAATTTTATTATTATCTTTATCTCTCTACAAATTAAAATCTTTAATTTTATCTCTAGTATATTATACAATACGATTTTTTATTTTAAAAATTTTATTATTATCTTTATCTCTACAAATTAAAATCTTTATCTTTTATCTCTAGTATATTATACAATGCTAATTAACTAATTGATATTATCATGTAATATCATCAGATAAAATAATAATTAAATTTTTAGAAAGATAAAAATGTAAAAATAATATATTTAAAAAATAAAAAATAATTATTTGACATTTTACAAAGCAAAATCAAAACTTATTGTTTGTTTGTTTGTTTAATATTTTAAAACTTACTCACTTTGTTTATTTAGTAATCAAACAAAACTTAATAAATATATATTCTGTTTTAGTAATAGTACTACTGTTACACTATATTTAAATGTATTAAAATCAATCTCTACTTTTTGTTCCTGTTATTCTTTATCTTGAGATGCTATCTACTTTTATTTAAAATGATTTTTAGATTAGAATTATTAAATATTTTTTATTTATTTTAAAAAATAAATATTCACTTTATTATCAAAACTATTTTTAAAAAATACAACTAAATAAAATATTTTAACTCTTCTCTTATCTATCTTTTTCTGAATAAAGCGGTTGATTAATAACTATAACCAACGGATCAAAACCTAAGAAACTAATAAAAGAAGGAAGAATGAAAACCTGCTTTGAATCAGTGTGATACTTAATAAAACTTATAAAACTGTTTATAAGCATATAATGTGATACTTAATAAAAAATTAATGATATAAATTAGAGATGATAAAATGAGTTGCATCTGAGAAATTACGTGACTCACATAGTCAATCTAGTAGAGATTATAGGTTAGGCATGCTAGTTATTGAAACCATTACAAATATATTTTTAAAAAATATTGTTGAGTGTTAAAGCTTGTGTTTTATATTATATATTTTTTTAAGTTTTTGTATGTTTTGAAAACTAAAATTTATTTACTATAATTACTATGATATTTTATTAACTCGATTCCTTTAATATTAGTATAAAATTTTATATTCAAAATCAAATTTAATTCAAATTATTAATTAATGTATTAATGTTCTTTAACTATAATTTTCAATTTAAATTAATTTTATAGAATAAAAAATTGAACTTGTTATTTTTCATTTCTTACCATAATTTATCAACTCGTTAACTCGGTTTAAAGCATAGTGGTCAATTTTGTTACTCATGAAATAAAATGATAAAAGACTTTTCAAATAATTCAAATTCTTGGTATAATAAATTGATTAAAATTCAAATGAAAAACCTTAATCATTAAGTGTTTTAAAAAATGTAATAAATTATAATATTCTTACTTAGTGTGTTGAAATTTTCTTTTAGATTATAATAGTCTTTTAAAATCATAGTACTCTATTCACACTTCGTAACATTCAAACAAAAGCAATTTGATGGTTCACTATTGTAAAATACTGGCAGCTTTTAACTAATCGGCATTAAACGTGAGAGCAACTGTAACAACACATCTGAAGCTAAAACCGAAAGGAAAAATGGAAAACGAGAAACCGAAGCCATCATCCTCCTTTGTGATCAATACTTGGGAAGAGAACATTCCTTTGGAAGATTGTTTTGGAACCTCTCATTGTCTTGGCAGTAATCATAAATCATGTGATATTTCCTGACCCATTTGAACCACCTTCTTTGTGCAGATGTCAGTGTGCTTGAGTTGTATTGGTTCCACCAATTGGCTGGGCTAGCTGCTCTGCAAAACCTTGGGTTCCCTTTCCACACACAACCATCAATCTTGTAATTTCTGAATGAAGCTATGAAGGGACCCTTTGTCCAATCAATCTTATCTTGGCCACCTCGTGTAGCCCAGCTATCACCATTCCACAGAGTCACTTTCAGACTCATTGGCTGCCATCTAGGAAATTCTACACCCTTCTCCGCATGGTTTCTGTACACTCTTACAGGAATCATATCCACCATCAACCTGCAAAAGGCAAAGTAATCTTTGCAATTATAACCCTTTGGAAACACTATAGTATGTATACTTACCTGGTAGAGAAACTGATTTAAAAAGTTAAACATTTTCAACTTCAAACAACTTTTTTTTTCTCAAGTGTATCCTTGATGGAGAGTGAAAGACTGATATATGGAGATCAGGTTAACAGAAACGGATATTTCGTCATATGTATGACTAAGAATGAACCCTTGCTGACCATGTTCAGCTTCAAAAACGAAAGCAGATAAACCTTAATTATGTATGTTCGTGCAGTTTATTCATGCATTGATCAGATTGACATGGTTGAGTTGTCTCCATCAATATAAATAATTTATTGGAGTTACTTCCTCTGCCAACCAAGTATAAAGCATTGAAGAGCAATACAATTTAGGCTATATAAAGATTTCATCAATTGTAGACGATGGCTTACACAATCTGGTGCATATTCCACAACACCGAATAAGTATGGAAGTCCTTTGTTGGATCAAACCACAGATAGATTCTCTCTTCACGGTTGTCAGTTCCATCTGCGAAAATATTTGTTTGTAGAATATATGGCTGCCCGGAGACATTGCCAAGAAACTCAAAGTCTATCTCATCTCGATTAGGTTGATCAGAGGTAAGCTGTAACAGTTTATTGCCAAACTTAAATAAGTATACTTTTATGATTCAAATTAGCAGTCAGAAAAAAGAAAGGTAAAAGGGTTGCATACATAATAGGCAAGAACAGTGCCTGCTGAATCACCTGGCACTAGTTTGATTTGCATGTCAATTTGCCCAAATAAAAACATCTGGTTTGAAGCAAAACCAGCTCCTGCAACAATGATTAATTAACGCAGACTCATAACTAAGAAAGGATCTTTGGTTTTTATATTGCGGCTAGATAAATTAAACTTTATAGTTAGTACCAGATTCTTGGTCCAGTTTCAAGCTCCTTGTCCGTCCATCAGCAGATGTGTTAACATGGGTGGGAGACCATACCACAAAGAAGTCCTTATTGAAGTCTCCTGTTGAAACAACAGATGCAACTGAAACTTGAAACAGACTGGAGAAAACAAACCCGATGAGGAAGATAATTGCTGTGTGGAACTTTTTCATGGTTCCTGTGAAAGAATATGTCTGAGGGCTCTAACTGGTAAATGATAACTGATGAGCCATATATATAGGTATTGCATGGGAAGGACAATGGCAGTTTTGTTAAATTAAGAATATCTTTAGAAGGAAGCAAAGGAATTTTTAGCTGTCTGAATCTTCGTTGTTGAGGGTACCTGGATTCGTTAAGAGTTTTTCACATTACAACATAAATATTCAGGTACTCTTAAAGTGATGACTACTGCAACATTAACATCGATGAGAGGCTATGCTGTCACAATAGTTACTAAGGAGGGATGATGAACACTATCCACCGTTTTAGGAGTGAGAAACAATCCATTGATACACCAATCCATTGATACAATCCATTGTAGAATTTTCAATCTTTTTGGATAGACATGGGCCTATAGTTCTGTTTACGTATTTGGGACATTCTCTCTTCTTTCTTGAATGTTATGAACCTAGCATATTTAATTAGTTGCGGGCCGAGAAAGAAACACTTTGTAAGAAGAATTCGAGAGTATTATCTTTCAAGAATCCATATCCAACTTAACTTGCGGCAAGGAAACTTATTTTGATCACATTGATCAGAATAAGGATAATTAAAAATGTACTAGTCTTTGGACACACACTTGTGCTTGCTCAAGAAAGGCCTTTTCCCTCTTTTCTCAACAGATTACGAAAATGAGAAGCTGACAACACATTTGCTTTCTTGCCTCCTCAGATTTTCTCTCAAGATAACTTGGTTTTAAAGCTTCCATTTTTCCAAGGGCTTTAAAAGATTTATTCCTTCCTTCTCTTTGTAGGGACGTTATTGTGTTAGTTATACTACAATTCATATTTCACTACACTTTTTATTCCTTGCCTACTTTTAAGTATTCACAAACAACTTCCTCAAAAAATAAACGAACAGGATATCTATAGAGGGTTTCTTTGAGGTAGATGTAAAATCGGAATTTGAATGGCACTTAAAGACGAACAATTCTATTACTTCCTCCACCCCACTCTTCTTTATTGGAGAATCTGGAAACCAACACTTTTGAATTCTATAAGTTATAACTATGTCAAACAGTTATTACCAAAATTTTTGTCTTTTATACAACGAAATAATCGATGTAGCAATTATCATGAAGCTGAAATGAGTTGACAAGTATGGTCAATTAGTTTGCTGTAAGTAGTTCCTGTATGACAAAGAATTACTGAAAGAAGACACCATTTTTCAATATTAAATATGTTGGATCCAACTGTTAACTGTCAACCCCACCCGCATATAAATTCTTGAGAATTGTTTTCCACTTGTTCACAAGAAACAGTTTTTTTTTTTTTTTTTTTTTTATTTATATGGCTAAGGACAATAACAGCTATAAATATTTATATTCTTGCATGAATGTGATATTTGGAAGTTCACAAAAATTTATTCGTGCACGTTATCTAATTTATAAATTATGCTACTACTAGTATGAAAAAAAAAAAAAAAATTAAATGTGACAACCCAACGAATAAGGAATCCGACAATTTAAATGCAATAAAATAAAATGCAAAGGCAGCAACATAAATTTGTTTATTTTTATAAACCTTTTTTTTTCGACTACATGTATACCTTAGGTAGTTTTGAAAAAAAAAATTAAAGTTTTAAATTGTAAAAAAAACTAAAATATAAATAAAAATTATAAAAATATGATAATTAAAATAAGAATTATAAAAAACCCCCTAAAAATATGACATAATAAACCTTATTTAAAATAAAATAAATAACACCTTGGATTGGAGAAACTCCATGACAAGAGAGGAAACCTTTTTTTTTTTTTTTCCTTTTAAAACAATTTGTGCAAGCAAGGATGAAGAAAAAAAAACAAAGGACATGCTTTTTAAACCCTGACAGAGTGGGTTAAGTGTACGGTTAAGACTCGGAATGAGGTCAAAGGACAAGGGAGCTTCCTTGTTTTAGATCGCTGTGTTGCTCACTATCACTCATTGTTGGAATGAAATCACTTTGACACCTAAATCCTTAAATGACACCACTTTTGTCTTAGGCTCGCCTGTTCAAGTCCCTCTTACCTTTTCTTTGTGCTTCTGCTTTCGTCTCTCTGCTCATTCAGGTAATTTTCTATCCTTTCTCCAACTCTCTTTACTTTTTTTCTTCATTTTGGACAAGGGTTTGTGTGCTACACTCATTTCTGGAACATGGGTTGGTTGAATCTCTATTCAAAACTCAATATTTTCCTTAGTAAGAATAGATATGTACTCTATACCTTATATCTGTTTGCCTCTTTCATATTTTTTGCTTCAGAATGGCTATAACCCTTGAAGCATGCTATTGACAAAAATGGGGTTTTACTGCGAAGTACAAAATCTGAGATTCTCCGTTGATTGTTGTGGGTGGGATTTTTCGTTTTGCTAGGGGGGGGATAGGGGTTCTAGGGATTTTTGTGGTTTCTTATGTATGCCTTCTTTACATTTTATTCTTTTGTGTTGCAAATTGTATTGATTTTTCTTTTTTGTGACGGAAATGCATGGCAGAATACTGAAATTAACGATTAGACTGTTTTCCGAGTTAATTTACCTAGTAACAAAATTGAGGATGTCACTTGCGGTGGATGTTGAGAATGAAAATTCGGACCTTATTAATGCGTTGTTTAATATGGTTTTGTTGAACATTGTTTTTGGAAATGGAAATGCCTTGGCAAGAGTACCTTATAATGCGTTGTTTAATATGTGTTATATCTGCATCTGTAGAAAATTTCTTTTTGGTATAATATGCTTTTTTGAGTGAACTGTGATTGTTTAGAATTTTTGCTCCACAGTTGTACAAACATTTAAAATGTTTTGAAATGGAGCAAAATTTGAGTTTCCCCTTTTTTAGTGCTTTTTATTTCCACATTTCTTTATTAGGGTCAATGAAGGCTGTGTTAAATGTTTGATAGATACAAACACTTGGGATATTTCAAGCTTATTATTTGTATTTCTTTTGTAATTATATCTTTACTACAATGAGCATAGCTTACATAGATCCTTAATAAGTTAGTATTGCTTTTCCAGTCCAAAGCAGATTGCTTCCCTTGCCATTTGGAGAAGACAAATCAGGGGTATCCAAATAAGTTAAACATGATAAAACGGTTTCCTAGTAGGAACCATAGGTCCAAAGGGATCAAGGTAAAGCATGTTCTACAAATTCTTCTGTTGCTTGGTGTTTGCTTCTGGTTGGTGTACCAGGTTAAGCACAATCATGATAAGAAGAAGGAATTTGACAAGAAGGATGCAAAATTTTCAGTCAGTGCCCAGACAGATCCAATTCTTAAACTTGGTAGAAGAGACCTTCATCCGGGTAAGCAAGACAAAAGTCAGAATGAAAAGCATGAGGAAGAGGAGGAAGATGAACACATTGAAGACGATGAAGAAAATAAACATGACCATGAAGAACAAGAAGATGGAAGCAAGCATGAAATTGAAGAAAGAGGAGATATCAAGCATGAAGGCAGAGAACATGGAGAAGAAGAAAATAAACATGGAGCAGATCAGGAGGAAGATGAAAACAAAAATGAAGATGTGGAAGATGAAGGAAGAGGGGGAGGAGACGATGACATAGATGAAAATGATCAAGAGAAATCAGAGGTGGATACTACTGATCGTGATGATGAGTTCTTGGATGAAGAGAAAGAGAAAGAAGAAGAGGCTGATGAGAAGGAGAACGAAAATGTGGATGAGGAAAAAGACGGTTTAGTTGAAAACCACAACAATCATGAGGCTCGGGAGGAACATTACAAGGGGGATGATGCTTCTAGTGCTGTGGCTCACGATACACATGCAACTAGCTTTGAAACTGAGACACTTGGCCTGGAAAACTCTGATGTAAACTCCCATATGAATATCACAAAATCTGTAAACGAGGCAACCTATTCAGATGAAAGTGTCAGGAATCAAAATGATTCAGATTTGAAGGGTTCAGAAGGGAATTCTTCAAATGAAACTGCTGTTGAAGAGACTGGAAATAACACTTTGTCCAACCCTGTCGATGATAGCTCATTTCTAAATCAAACAACCACAACAAACTTTGACAGCCACTTGGAATCAAGCAGTAACCTGATAGTAGTGACCACTGAAGCGAACAATAACTTGACCGGAGCTGGTAATGACACCATAAAGTCATCTGAACAAGATAAAACAGTTATAAAAGTTGAATCTGACCAAGCTCAAAGCACGACGAACAACACAACTAACACTGGAGATGTCAAAATTGTGCAAACAGAGGGATTGGAGCAGAGTGGCAATGGAAATTCTGAAGAAAAGCTACATAATACTGATTCAGCTGGCTCTGTTAAAACTGAAAATGGAGATGCAGCTGCAGGAAAATCATCTAATCTAGTAGCTTCAAATGTAACTGAGAACACTCACAGAAATGAGAAGTCTGAATCTGATATCTCTGAAAGTGACAAGTCCAAAGGCAACAATGAAACAAATGAAACTCAGACTGTTGATGCCAGAAAGGATGAATCGTCCAAAGGAGACCTTCAAACAGGTGAAACTGATGAAACATCAGACTCTTCTTCTGCCAATGAAACTTTGGATTCAGCTGAACAAGATCCCATCGATTCTTCTGATAGTGGTATCCACGAGGACTCAACTGAGGCTCGAACCGATCTGGATACATTGCCAGATATCAGGAATAAAGGTGATGACAGTGATGAATCTGCTGCAGAGTGAAATTGAAAGAAGGTCGTTGTGTTCTTTGAAAAGTGAACTTTCAGTTTTTCTTCTGACCCAGTTGTTAGAACTTGCTTGACTCAAAATTGTGTCAAGACAAGATCTTTGAAGGCACAACCACAGTTTAGTAGATATTTTTAATGATTGTATCAAGGTTATGTGTAATTTATTGCTACATCCCACTATCAATTACTTTTGTTCCACTTGTTTTTGTGAACCTCCTTTCTAAATTTTTTCTGTCCTTAGGTCATTTTTTTATTACATTAGTTATGAGTGTATAATCTTTTCTACAAGTATTAATAGCAGAAAAAAAGTTTATTTTAATTTATGATAGAAATTTAATATTTTTATATTTCCATCTTTTGAAAATTTAACCAAACGTCATCTTAATGGATTGGAATGCAATTAAGGTGAAATATTAATTGACTGAAAATATAAATTGTTATGTAATACTATTTAAGGTTTTCAGAATTAGAGGCTGCATTCAATAGGGGAGTGACATAAGTTCAAAATTCAAAAGTTTGAATGAGGAGTGAACCTATTTTATTAATTTTTGTATTTTGAAATACTATAATATAGTATGTGATGTAATATTAATAGAAAATAATGCATATATGAATTTATAAAATTTAAATTTAAATTTCACTTAAAAGTGTATAACATATAATAAAAGTAATATATATATATATATATATATATATATATATATATATAAGTTTCTTAAAAAATCATCTAAAAAAGACACATTTTTAAAATCAATCAACTGAATTCTCAATACGTAGTGTTTTTTCAAAAAAAAAATATTCACGATCGATTTTACTTGGTTTAACCTTATATTAACTAAAATCTATTTTCTTTAAAAATCTTTGAATTAAATATTAGGTTGATTCTCGATTCAATTAGCGAAATCAGTCTGTCTAGTCCAATTTTTAGAATATAGGTAATATTTTTTTTTTCTGAAATGTTAAGAATATGAAAATGAAAAATTGATATTAGCTTATGGTAAGTCAAATTTTCTACCAACACAAGAAGGAAATGTTAAACCTCTATTTGTTTTAAGCTAATTATTGTTTATGTACATGAATTAAGGCAACTAGATTTTGACAAACTTTTTAATAATATGATAATATTAATAAAAATAGTTATGAAGTGACTATAAACTTTTTTTTTAATAATGCACGCACCCCTTTTCTCAAATGGCAATTGTACTCTTTATTGCTTTAATTTTACTGTTCTTATAGGTTATTATGATTATCTCATTTGAAAAAATTTCCTTCTATCTTTCTTATAAACTTGTTCTTTTAAATAAGTTAGAGTGTGAGAGTAGAGCATATGAGATGCAGTAATATTTTATCTACTAATGGTAAAGTGCACTTAGACCAAATAGACACTCCTCTTTTGACTTCCATGGCTTAGTAGATCATTATTCTTTCGGGGGTCTACATTAATTAAAATATGTAATGCTTCATGAAGCATTAGTAGGGGGTGCATTGAAAGAAAGAAAGGATATACGATCGAAGGAAAACATGTAGAAAAATAGAAGAAACTTGAAATTGAATGCATGAATTGTTTGATGCTTAGAGACTTAGAATTAAAGTTAAGGGATAGTTTGGGTTCCCACGAGATCTTTATTGATGTGGGTTAAATTATGTGTAATCCAGATAGTTAGTGTTTAAACTGTCTATTTAAGTAACGTTTTATTTATTTTTATTTATATAACAGATTTAAATACTCATCAATTAATATTTCGATTTATTATCTGTTTAAAAATATTCTTATTTCGTTAAGAATATATACCCAGTACAAAATAATACCATTTTTTTAATCATAAAATTTTATAATCATATTTTTTTCAAGAATATTCAATCTAAATAAATAACAGTCCCTTATATATAAATTTTATGACAACATTTGTTTAATTTAATAATAAAAAGACAAATTGGTTATGAAGTTATCAAATTAAATTATTATAAAGTAATATTTTAAAAATCATCCTATGTCTATAAACTGATTTTCTTATTTCTAAAAGTTTCTACTTCTATAAATATAACATGAAGTAAAATTAACCTCAATCATGAGTTTAATTTTTTTTTATCTAGTTGATTTAATATTTTAATGTCAAATTTAATATAAAAGTAAAATATATTATTGAGTAATATTATGGAATGCATTATTGTAATATAAATAATTTATTTTTTATTATTTTTTGTTCTCTTATAAATTTTAATTATAAATTATAATTTTAAACTTTAATATATATATATATATATATATATATATATATATATATATATATATATATATATATATATATATAACAAAGATATTATCTTGCAACATTTTTAACTATCTTAAATGAGCGGTTATAGTTTATTCTTTTTCATATTTTGATATATTTCTTTATTTAATTAGAATCTCTATAATTATAAGAGTATTTGATTAATTAAATTCATTAAAATATTATTTACAGACATATCATACAATAATAAAATATATAATAATTACTTGAATTGATCATCATCAATTTATATAAAACATGATTCACATAGATATCATATCAATTTATTATTTTATAAAATGTTTTGTTTTCCACATACAATTTTTTTTATATATTTTATCAAATTTTTTATCTTTTATATATGTAGTAATTTTATTTAAGAATAATTGGATTTCCTACCCTATGGGTCAGTACTTAAGTATTGTTAGATTGCATCTATGTTAGATAAAGTCCTTTAATGATAAGTATTAATCCTTCTCCTTTAATATCTTATCTATCATGTAAAATAATGATTCAGATAGTTGAAACAAAAAGTTAAATAATTGTATTTTAGTGTTAAATGTAATTTGTTATTTATAATTTTAATATAATGACGCTTAAAAGTCATCTCTCTTTCCAACTTCTCTTATTCTTGCAATGTGAAGTCTGCAATCCCTATTATGACCCTCATTTCAAGTGGAGATTACTTTTTATTAACATGGTTCAATTATTAGTAAAATCATCTTAACTTCTATTAGATTAAAATTTTAAATAAATAAGAAACAAAACTGAATTTAAAAAAATGATAATATGGATTATTAGGTTTCGTACTAGACAAAAATCACTGTGGTACTGGAAGAATTATTATGAATAATGAAATTTATATTTCCAAACAAAATAAAAACTCGGAAGTTTTATTCCCTTGTCCACAGTAGATGATTAATTTGATATAAAGGACATTATTTTCAACCACAATAAACCACCTGGTAACGTAACCAGTTTCTGATTCACCCCTCTGAATCTGAATCAAAAAGCAAATCCGAAAGAATAGAAGAAGATCAAAGATACCCAGTTCGAAATGCGAGATATTGGGCATCAGGAAGTGAAGAAGCAATACCAATCCCAACATCAGGTTTGTTATCAAAGGCGTCGTACCGTGCAAGTGCACCAAAGCCATTATTAGGTCCAAGAATTGAGGAGGAGGAAGAAGAAGAAGATATAGCAGTAGAGTGCTCAATCATGAATTTGCTAGCATGTTTTTCTATGTTCTTCTTGAGCTCTTCAATGGAGGCCTTTAACTGGAAAAGCTCAGGCAAGCCAAGGTCTTCAACAGGGCCCTCCCACCAAAATTGCCTCTGCCTGGCTTTTCTGGCATGATCCAGATCATCCCCTCGTTTCTTTTCGATCTCCAAAAGGTTAAAAACCTGGGTGAGTTGCATGTTGAGATCACGAACATTCGCATTCCGATGAGCCTCGACGAGGTGGTGCGCAGTGGACTCTTGCGGAGGGTTCCGCGTGGTGTAGCGATCGATGAGGGACTCAACTTCTGGATGGCCAAAAGAGAAGGCCTTGTCCGCGGGAGAGAAGACCACAATCGCGATCTCCACCCCACAGAGGGTGCAAAGTTCACTAGCTTTCTTGAACAGTCCCGAACGACGTTTGGAGAAGGTAACTTGCAAATGACTCTTCTTAGGTATTTTCTCTATTGGGATCTTTTGACGACCCAAGCTAGACTTTTTAACCTTCGACATGATCGAAGAAACAAAAATCACAGACAAGAAGCTCCTTTTGCCATTCAGAAACTATTCTTTTTTATATTGCTAAATCTTTGCTTTCCACCTGTCCCAATTAAATTTCCTTTTTATGTGTTTTATTTCTTTTTATTATTAATCCTAAACGAGGAAGTTATATAATCTTTGCTCTTAATATGTGATTATGGTAGGAGACCTAATTGGAATGTATCATTGAAGGGTTCCCATTTTGAGTTCTTGATATTTTTTTACACAATATATGTTACACACGTTTGTTTGTAATTTTTCAATTAAAAATTATATTTAAAAGAAAAATTATTCAAATAAATTTTTTATCAATTTTTTTAACTAAATCTATTTACTATTAATACATAAAATTCGATTATGAAAAATAAATTTAGTTATTTCTTTCTATCTTCTTAATCATTCTCTTATTTTCATCTCTTCTCTTTTATTCGTTATTTCTCTTTTTCCTCTCTTACTCACTCTTATTCTTCTTTCTCTTATTTTATTCTTTCTTCTTTTTCTTATTAAAAATATTATATTAAAATTTAATAAAAATATATTTTTTAAAATCAACATTAAAAATAATAGAATATATATCTTAATGTATTTTTATAAAATATTTTTAAAATTATTAAATCCAACTAATTATAATAATATAATCAAATTATAATTAAGATTAAATTATTAAATAAAAAAATTTAACTCATAAATATTTAATATTTTTTAATTAAATGAATAATTAATTTATTATGATAAAATAATTTTAAATTCATTATTTATTATTATTATTATTATTATAAATTAATTATTTATTGTTATTATAATTTTAAATAAGTAATTGAAATTTTTTATTGTTAATATTAATTTAAACAAATTAATTTAATATATATTTTTAATTAAAAGAATAAGTGGATAAGAGAGATAAAAAAATGTAACAGAAAAAAATATATAAATAAAAAGATAGAAAGATTTATTATATATGAACATTTAGTTAAATAAATAAATTGAGCGAATAAATTTGGGTATTCCAAAGTATTTTTATTTTATTTTAATTTGTTCATCGATACATGTTTTAAAGTTTATGTTTCTTTTTCTTTATAATATACATATAAATATAAATGAGTGAAATTCGTATTACATCATTTGAATGTGACTTTAAGCATCTCCTGAAAATATCTTATTTACTAATATTAAGATGAATTTTACTAAAATATAAAAATGTATTAAAAAAGACTAAAAGATTTAAGTACAATTTTTAAATATAGTGTAATTTTGATATCTATAAAAAACGAATGTTTTTTTTCTAACGTGATATGATAGGTGACATTTCAGTAATTGTGTTTATACAGTTTGTCTATAAGTCAAAATTCGGAACGACATAGTGTCTTATTCTTTTGTGTTCTTTTTTTTTTTTTTTTGAAGTGAGATTTCATAATAATAACATTCATCTTATTTTATACGTGGTTGTTGGATGTGAATTTATATAAAAACTATAACATCAAATCAAAATTAAACTCAAACATCATGGTTCATTCATTATGTAATGAGTTACACTATTGTTATAAAATCATATCATTCAAATGATTGAAATATTAAAAATAATTTAATTCAAAACAAACAATATATATTTCGATTACTAAGAAGTATATATAATTTAGTGATAATTAAATTAGTTTTGATGCTTCTCTTATTTTTTTTAACTGGAATAAAAGCAGAAAGATCCTTAAGCCTATGTTAGGTTAAAAGAAAGTGTGAAAAAAGAGAGAGAGAAACATTAAAATAAAATAGAAAGAGCAAATAAAGTTAGAGAAACACTAGTACCACCGTAAAATTTGTAATATTGAGAATTTTTTTATATTTTTAATTTAATTTTTTATCATTATAATAATAAATGAATTATTCAAACAAATAAATGTATATGAAATTGTTTTTAAGATATTAATAAATATCATAACGGTAATAGGACAGTAGTCACATATAATATGCTTTCCATGTCACTCATTAAATTATTTTTAAGAATATAAAAACTCTACTAATATCATGACTAATAAAATATATTAATTTACATATATTATACACACATGGATATGATGATTTAATATTATTTTTAAAGAAGAGATACAATAGTTACCTTCCACTTGAAAATTATAATAATTAACATGATATTCTGGACACTAATTAATGTATTATAACACTAACTGAATCTACACTATGTATTATGAAATTTTTGTATGCTTGATGATTAATTAATAGAGAATCTATTAATTCTTAATAATATATTTAAGTTTTATAATAAAATTAAGACATTGATCATATTTAATAAGTTTATTAAAGATTAATATTATGGTTGTTTTTTGAAAAAAAAAATTATAAACATTTTTAAGAAAAAATTTAAATTATTTTTTTCATAAATTAATTTATAAAAAATATATTATGTAATTTTTTTAAAATCTTTATTTTCAACTTATGTACATAAATTACTTTTAGTTTAGTTTTTGAAGAAATTGTAACTTTTTTTTCCTTATTTTATTCTAATAAAAACACTTAAGAAGAAATTTATCTTAATGAATCCTGCATATAATTTTAACTTAGTAAAGTTCTATATTTATTATTAATCAATAGCTTTGTGATAGAATAAAATATTTTTTTATTAGTTCCTGATGATAAAATCCTTCTCCTTTTATTATTATTTTTTATTTATTTAGATATAACAATTATGGGTAATTTATTCTTAAAAATTAAAGTGAATAGTTTTTTTTATATTATAATAAAAAAATTTTGCTTTAAAAATATTTTTTTTATTATTAATTCATACATTAAAATGCATTTTTTTTTTAAATTATAATTCATAAAAATATTTTCATAACTTTGAACAAGTTAAAAGAAAAGTAAATTCATAAAAATACTAATGATCTCCTTCACATATAAACTATAATTAGTTTACACACAAGTATTAAAAATTAATTTTTTCGAAAATTATAAAAAAATTCTACAAATTATATTATAAATATGTTAACTTTACTTTAAAAATATTTTTTAATTCATTACTTCTTCATATATTTGTAAATTCTATCTCACACAATTAAAAAAAATATATGATTAAAAATTATTTTAGATTTTTAGAAAATTCAGCAAAAACATTGCTCAAAATATTAAAATCTTTAATAGTAATTATTTTACGGACATTTGTTTTCTTATGTATTTTATTATATGTAATTAATTTATTATTATTTAATATTATACTGTATGTAATATAAATTATACATCAATTAATAAATAAAAAATTATAAATTAGTATATTGATTAATAAATATATCATTTATTGTAAAAATTCATAAATACAATTAATATAAAATTAATTCGTATTTATTAGTATAGTAATTAATAAATGTAAATAATACTATAATTAATATATTTATTGATAAGAGACTGATAAAGAAATATATAATAATTGTGAAGTTACTATATTAAAAAATTATAATGTTATTATATAGAAACAGTAATAAATTAATTTATTATAGTAAAACTAATCTTATTGTTTGGTTGCTTTTATGGTATTAATATAGTAATTTAAATACCTCTTTGGTAAGATACCTGTATTATTTTATATTCTATTATTTTCTCAAAATTAAGTTTAAATTACGCTTTCTTTATGTTAGTGATGGTTTTATGCGGCTTTCTCATTTTATTTTATGTTACAAGATTTAGTCCATTTATCCCAACATCATAAAAATAAATTTAGTTTTTTATTCTATAAATAAGTATTATATTATCTTCGTTCTTTTGTGCTATTCTAGACAAAAAGAATATAATTTGTTTAGATTTAATTGTAATTTTGGTTATTTTATAAAATTTTTAATTTAATTTATTAATTTTTTTCATTTAATATAGTTCCTTAATTTTTAATTATTCATAATTTTGATTTTTTAAATAAATTTTAATTTGTTAATTTTTTAAAATTTACAAAGTTAAATAATTTTAGTTATAATTATTCGTATTTTTTATTATTTTAAATATGATAAAGTAAAATGGAACGAAAAATATGATTATATATATATATATATATATATATATATATATATATATATATATATATATATATATATATATATATATATATATATATATAATTGATTAACAACTGAAAGGTTGGGAGTGTTTAAAAAAATAGAAAATTGAACAAAACTATGGATCGTTAAAAGTTAACGATCAGAATTACGTATAAAAAAATTAGAACCAAAATTAGATAAAAATTTGGGAACTTAGATAAAATTAAATGAACAATATTATATACATTATCAATTTTTACATTATTTTTTAATTTTAAGATATTGTAAATTTTTTATTATATCAGATTTTTTTCTATGATTCAATATTAAAAATTATATAGTTTCGTTGTTTTAGATCATAAAATATCACTACAAGAAAAAAGCCCATTACCTACGAATATTACCTACGGGTAAAAATCCGTAGGTAAATTTTACAGTACCTGCGGATTTTACCTACAAAAGTATATTCGTATATAAATTATCTATTACCTACGGAATTTACCTACGGATGGGATGATTATGCATTACCTACGGATGTAGGAGGTAGGTAATGTTTTTTTACTACTTTACCTACTCATTTACCTACGGATGTTAAATAAAAAGAGAAAAGAAAAAACCCTCGCTACACTTCCTCCACGTCTCACTCAAGCTCCCTAACTCCTTCCTTCGTCTCCCTCAATTTCACTAACCTCTATAACCCGCCACCCACCTCCTTCACCGGAACCCTAGTCGACTACTGCAAAAAAAGGCTTTTTACATCGGTTAAAATGGACTTTCTACGTCGACATATAGACGGGGGTCATAGAAAGTGAGACTTTCTACGTCGGTTCCTAATAACCGACGTAGAAAGTAACTCGGTTACGATCGATCATAGCTGGTTATGATCGGTCATAGAAAGACTTTCTACGTCGGTTAGTCGAGCAGAAGCGTAGAAAGTCTTACTTT